TGTGTGTGTGTGTGTGTGTGTGTGTGTGTGTGGGGGGGGTGGGGGTGGGTGGTACACAGTCAGTCAAGCAAGGCTACAGTGTTGAGCGTCTCTGAACTGCACATGTCACATCCTGTATCTGAGACGACCCCCCACACGCAATCATAGGATTACAGTGGGTAAGCAATGTTGCGAACATGAGAAGCACGCGCATCAGTCCTCTCAGCATGTATGCCTTGGGTGTGGGCTCCATTAGTGAATATTGAGAGGCAAGTTTATGTTCTTATTTTAATATTTATGCCCAATTACTCACAAATGATATGCACTTCACATTGATTATTGTAAGGTTTATAATGTCACACAAATTGATTGCTCACAGCAGACATTAGATATCTAGTGGAGCGCACTCACTGGGGCTCAAATGGACTAATGTGCATGCACCCAACTGGCTACGTAAACAAAGCACAGAGAAGCTCTGATTACAGCACACACACTGCTCAGGTAGACATTACTCCACTCTATCTTTACAGAGCAAATAGTTGTTAATGCTCTGAATTTCCAAATTTTGCACCTTTTAAATACGGAAGATGTTTTGTAGATCATTTTCCATTTCGTCCTTTTATCAATAAGCCAGACATGTCTCTCACCCATAGTGTTAGTCTACACAGGACAGACAGCTGTTGGAACAGATTTGAGTACAGGTGCTCTCTTTAGCAAATGCGTTTGTATATGAATGTTTGGTTGAAAGTGGACGTATATGTGCACTATACATACAGAACCTAATGGCACCTTTAGACAAACATCCCACTTGTATGTTACTTTACTTTAACTTCTTACCAAAAAGAACCAAAGAATAATCTTGCCAGCATAGATCTTGGGAAAATATCTGTGCTTTTTTTTCAACACATTTTCCATATTCAAACAGTACTCCATAATTGAAAAGTGAGATCTGAATTAATTGCAAAGATGTGAACAATACCCAACCCTCACTGTGAGTAGGGACACCCGCTGCTGATATGAACGAACCCAGATTGCCGTGCCATTACAAGAAAATTAGTTTTATCTCGGTGTGCAACATGCATATAACCGCTGTCTACAAGGCACAGTGTGCATCTGTGCGAGTGTGTTCTAAAGAAGGGTTACTCTGGGTAATGGGCCTGGAGGCATTGAGAGAGTGTGCCAAGGGCTACAGCATAGACCTCTAAGAAGAGAGAAAGTGAGCAAATTAGAGGAACCAAAGGAGAAATAATGGCAGTTAAATGATTCTTTCCTTTCTTGCTTTTGTATCCCTCCTCTTTCACTCTTCTCCCCTTCACCCTCCAGATTATTAGTAGTAGGGATTGTAGATTTTTAAAATCAGTGCAGTTCTCAGTAGAAAATAATGCCCCCTAATAGTCTTTTCTTGGATATTCTCTCTACTTGAATAAGTGTTTTTTCAGTCTCCCTTTGCAGATCTGCAGGATGGTCTCCATGGGGAGAATAGGTCTCTTGCCTGATCATAACATGGTTCAGGTTTTAGTCATTCTCTCATCATCTAAGGATGTGCTATTGGTTTATTCCTACCTGTATGCTCCTTTGTCTGCCACCCTCTCTACAATACCTCTTTCTGTGTCTGCCTCTTGGTTCTCATCCATGAAATCCTTCTCCATCTCCGTCTACACTTAGTGGTATTGCAGCTACGTAGACACGTAGTGGCCTTTAGGAAATCTATACCACTTCATCCTGGCTGGACAAAACTTGGTGTGATTGTATCCGTTCGTACTTATTTCTCTGTGTGCATACTGCTTAATGTCTTGTGCATATTTACATGCCTACCCAAGTGTGGATAAGCTAATGTGTGTTTGTCAATATCAGGCTTTTGTGTTACTGTTTGGACTTGGTTCGCATCAATAAACCACTCCCATGTGCGTCTGTCTGTTTTTCAGGTCCAACAGATTGATCGAGTGGTGGAAGTAGTGGACGAGGCTGTTAAAGGTATTTACACACACACACACACACACACACACACACACACACACACACACACACAAGCACTCATTATATGAGTGAATAAGCAGAAATGCATTGATCAGCTATTAAATGAATAAATGAGAGCCCTTTCACTGTTGGAATAGGAAATGTATGAATGATTTTCAGTAAAGTAGTCTCTCCCCTTATTGACAGAACGCAAGGACTAAGAATAATTTATTACTTTCCTGTAAGAGAGCAGATAATCAAATAGAAGTGGCATTCTAACTTTCTGTCTACTTTCTCACAATTCATTTTTTCAAATATTTTAATTGTGAGCAGTTGTCAATAATTAATGACAAGCTATAGTGTTATTTGAAGGTACAAAGATCAATACAAATTTGTTTTGTGTTAAAATTGGACTCGACATGCTTTTTCCACGGGCTAAATGATTGTACATTTCATAAAAGGAAATGCATTCAAAACTCATTGACTGCATCGCTCCGTAGGAACAGTTTAAACTGACGTTCTGTATTCAAAAGAGAAATCGTCTTGCTGTCCGTGCAGCTTATTAAGTGGTCTTCTGTGACTGGGACGGACTCGCATGGCAGTGATTAGGTCATCCATTTAAACTGTTAGTGAACCACCGCTCTTAACTGTTTAATGAAGGTCAGGCAGAGTTTACAGTGTGCGAGTGTCCAGACAAGCTGTCATACACCCCCAGCTGTTCTCTAATAAAGAACAGATTGAGTTTACAGTGTGTGTGTGTGTGTGTGAGAGAGAGAGAGAGAGAGAGAGAGAGAG